ATAGATAAATATATGTATATATATATATATTCATTATTAAAAATAAATATTTCGATATCTTCTTAATTTCAAAAAAAATTTAAAGAATACGAGAAATATATATAAGAATGAAATAATAAAAATAATAAAGAAATATAATTTTAAAAAACATCTTAAATATATAATCATATATCTAGAAAAAATCTATCATCGAGAAGTATACTATATTATTTTAGTCATATATAAATCAATAGATATCTTTAAATTATTTTTCCAAGAAATATTTTAATAAAGTCATTTTATAAATCAATTTATATATATATATAAGAAAAAGTCTATATTATATATTTTGTCTCATTATTTCTTTGTAAGTACACCTGTCAGTGTCCCAATCGTGTAGATTGGGCGGCGACAATTTCCAGGGTCTTTTTTTAGATAGGTCTGGTATATTGACCCTTCCAACGCCAGACAACTCCCACAAACCCTAATTGTGAAATGGCAGAAAAACAACCAAGCTTCCCGCCAGTTGGGGATGCCAAGAATCTGCATCCCATAAACCGTCTAAGCTAGAGAGTATGAGGCGCAAACGCTGCCGAAGACTGTTGTATCAAGGATATCGTATCGATGTCAATCAATATCTCATCTGTAGGATATCAGGCCTGGGGACACCCTTTTAATCGGTGCAGCCAACGAAAAGTCGTCACAATTGTAAGCGTAGAAGATATAGACGAAAGGAGGCTACAGGAGTGAGCAGGCCAGATTGCCGAAGTCAGGGAGGTACTGCACAGCATCCAAACAGATCCCCTAGACCCCCAGCTAGACTAGCTAGACCCCCCAGACCCCCTAAACTCCCATTCCGCCCTAAACCCCCTAAACCCCTAAACCCCTTTTGCATCCAGGACTCTCGCAACCAGCCCAAAACCCTAAACCCTGAACCCCTAAACTCCTAAACTCCTAAACCCTAAACCTAGGTTCAGGGCACTTATAACCCAATTATACATGTACTTACATTATAAGCCAGTTACAAGCTCCCAAAGTACAGTTAGCTAGTTCATAATTGGCTTATAAGTACAGTTATGATTATGTTATAAGGATCCAAAACATGAATCCACCTTCAATTCAAGTCTAAAGTCTAGTATTTCATACCCACAGGAGTAAAGTCTACAGAGCTAGGGGTGCCATCCTTAAGATCCTCCCAGGGGTCTGGGTGGAAACCAAGCGTTTGACTCGTGGCGGCAAACACGCTTCGAGTCCATGAGATCCACAATCAAAACGTCGCATGACGTAAAGCGGTTTAGGTTTAGGTTCAGGGTTTAGGGTTTGGGGTTCAGGATATGGGAATTTGCCTAAATTACTGTTTCCAAAAATGGGAGAAACCCTATAGAGGGACCCGTACTATGATAGGAGTCATTATGAGGACCCATACTAAAGTGATTTAGGGATAATCCCCAAAAAGAGGCAATGCACACCACAACATGCAGCGGACAAAGGTCATGCTTGCTGTCCAGGAGGGCTCGCGAAGCGAATGCATCCACGCAACATCCGGCTTTGAAATGACCTCCGCCCACCTAGGCCAGGTCAAGACAACGTACTGGTTTAGTAGGGAATTAGGGAATATAATCCTCGTTTTAGGGTTTAGGTAAGACAAGCGGACGAAGCAATGGCACTGATCCCCGTCATAGCTGGTTCCTCTTACAATGCGGGTCTCCCAGCTGTTTGAAGAATACTTTATGCAAACTGCAATACGAGATGCGACTTGGCAATTCTTGCCTTCAACAATCCCCCCGTACCATCCCAAGTAAACCCATGTAACCCGAGCTTCTAGAGTCTAGAGGGGAGCCTCAAAAAAGGCATGCGAGACGGGACCCTTTTGACTGGCTTTTGGGCCTTTCGGGTTTAGGGTTTAGGTTTAGAGTTTAGGGTTTGTTTAGGGTTTCGACTCTCACACTCGCACCAGGCAGGCAAGGCTCCACACAAGGGTTTAAGGTTTAGGAATAGGGGCTGCGTCCCAACATGTAGCTTAAGGACGTGTCATCTGAATTTCAAGTCCTGTCCAATGGTTTCTCGTCGAAAGGAGCCCCACAGCCAAGCCTTCTAAGTGACACCAAAAGGAGGGATCTCCTAAAATCCTGACTCAAACTACACAGTGCTAGTCCATGAGGTGCTCTTCGAGCAAAAACCCTGCAGTCTCTGATAGGCAGGCCTTGCACTGTGACATGGCGCCTTGCACCCTCAACCCTAAACGCCTAGCTTTCAAAGAATGAAACTTGGTCGCGAACATAACGGAGAGAAGGGGTGCGGGATGCCGAAACTTCGCGCTTACCAAGCTTCGCGGAAGCATGAGAAGATGATTTAGGGTCTAGGGTTTAGGGTTCAGGATTTAGAGTTTTAGGTTTAGGATTTAGGATCTCTTTGCAGGCTCGCAGCTCCTCAAGCAGATCGAGGAACATCTGCAGGCCAACTCCTGGGTTGATACTACTAGGTTTGAGAACTCCTAGGGGCTTAAGAGTTTAGGGGTTTAGGGGTTTTGGGTTTTAGGGGTGTTAGGGGTTTAGAGCTTTAGGGTTAGAGTCTAAATTGCTGTTCCCCAAAGGCGGGACACCTTTTTGAGGACCCGTATTCTCATGGCAATCAGAATCTACGGACCCGTACCGTACTCGGGTAAAGGACTATCTTCAGTTGATTTTGGAGGATTGCATTGGCAGAAGTGCATTTCGACGGCCAAACCACATGGAGCTGCACAAGCAGAGAGTCAAGTAGCAGCTCAAATCTGTAGCTGCCACTCCATCATCCTGTACACTCTGGCCAAGCAGTGAGAAGGCTGAATTGGCACTGGTCGCCATTCCAGCCAGGGCTGTGCCCCTGCCATGTTGGCTGCTAACATCATTCATGCAGTTCGTTTGACTGCTGCACTTCTCATCGTGCCATTTGCACGACTTCAAAAAGCAGAGCACGCTCCACAACTTTGTTAACATAAGCAAAGGAGCCGTGCTCACTTCTAATTAGATCTTTAATGCCATCTTCATCGTCCTTGAAGGTAGCAGTGGCATTCTCCGCGTTCACCTTACATGTAGCCTTGAGCTGGTCGATGGACACCAGAGCATGCCGTCCCACTGCAGCTTCCGGCAGCAGAACTGAAATGGGGATGTCATTCGTGGACGCTACAAACACCTCAAACACACCTCGATTGTACTTGGAAACCTTGTAAAATGGAAAAAAATATGATCTTAGCTGTTTCTAAGGATTCTTAATCGGAAATAATTTCCAAGTACGGCCAAGACACACCAAATACGCTTCACGTACTCTGGTTGCAACAAGTCATTCATCAGGATGAGCATCCTTCCCACAGACTTCAAGCGATCCCCAAACACAACGGAAAGATCTGCTGTGGTCTGCCTGTTCTGATCCTGGAGAAAACGAAATTGGTTGTTGCAGAAGAAGCACCACCAAATTGCGACGGTCTCTGCACGGAAAGCTGGGTTGACCCTTCTCTGGTCATCGCACCACGTGCGCAAGGCGGCACAGGCAGTAGAAAGATTATAGCCCCATACCCAAGACAGGAAGCGGTTTGCTTGGAAGCTGGAACCCTGCTCGTGGACACCATCCACGAAGCTGCAATGGACCTCTCCGTCTCGAGGACACAACTGCCCATATCCCACACTCAGCTCACCAAAGGCAAGAACTGGCGCCATTTGCGTGAAGGTCGGATCTGCAGGCGGCGAGGCTGTCGGGGCACAGACCCATTCAGCGGGTGGTGCATCGCGGGTGCCCTTGTATCCTTACTTGCTGAGTTGCCTGGCCCGAAAAAGTGTACACCTCTTCGTTTATTTAGGAATCTATAAGATTCTATAAGCCAAAAACCTGTAAAGTGAATCTATTCAGCTACGAAGTATCTCATGATGCAGCTGTCCAAAGTGCAAACAAAGCCATTTACTTCTCGCCACTCCCGCTGCACAATTTTGCTGGCAGCATCGTTTTCAAAGTTTAGCAGGATGTACTCGAGTGCAATACCTGGGAGTTTCCAAGAAAAGGGAGCCCTTAATATGGACCCTAAATACTAGTCATTCCTTTTATGAGCGACCCCTAAAAAAACACCCCCTCTTTTCGGAAACTCCTAGACCCTAAACTCTAAACCCTAAATTCCCACCCAGGCCCGGTGTTATGCATTGTATGCTCTCTTTTCGGACACCCCTAAACAGGACCCTAAACCCTGCACTCTAAACCCTAAACCATAAACCCAGAAGAGCTACAAGGGACCCCTAACAAGGACCCTAAACCCTAAACAATAAACCCAGAAGAGCTACAAGGGACCCCTAAATCGGACCCTAAACCCTACACCCTAAACCATAAATAAACCCGGAAGAGCTACAAGGGACCCCTAACAAGGACCCTAAACCCTAAACTCTTTTCGGAAACTCCCACCTCGTAGCTCTGACTCCCGGCGAGCCTCAAGCAACAGATCTTGAGCCGCGCGGGCAGCATCATGCCAGGCCCACTTCTCAGCACTTTCTTTGATCCTGGACTGTAAATTGAAGCTTTCTACGAATTGTGATTTTTAGCTGTTTCTTAGGATTCTTAGTAGCAGCGGTTGTAATTTTAGCAGTTTCTTAATAGCAAAAATTGTAATTTTAGCTGTTTCTTAGGATTCTTAAGAGCAAAAAATTGAAAATCATTTTCAAGCACGGCTAAGGATCCTCCGTATGGCAGAAAGGTCCTTGCGGCAGCTTCGCAAGGTGACAACCAAGGCATCTAAGATGTCTTGGCTAACGGCACCAAGGTCCTGGTTTTGAGCGTTGGCCCAAATGGGTGCAAGCTGGGAAACCACGTCTTCGCCTGTGAAGCCCCTCTTTTGCATTTCATGGAGTTCAGCGCGGAGACAACCTGCAACTTGTGAAGCACGCCTCTTCCTCCCATAGCGCAGGCATCCACGAGTGGCGAAGGAGATCAGGACAAGCATCAAACAGCAACCGAAGGTTGCGACTGGCCAATGCCACCAGCTGCAACCAAAACACGCCGAACAGGAATAGGAACCCGGGGAGGAATGCTTGCCGGGGGGGCACAAGGTGCACACAGAAGATCCAACATCAGTCTGATACCTAAGCTGCTCTTTACTGCCTTGCTAAAATGTTCACTCATGTACCCCTAGTATTAAAAAACGATCCTAAAAGTCATAAAGTTGATATAAAGTGACACTCAAGTTGAACCGAGATACTTGCCTGCTGGGCACAACTTGCACTCGGAGCTGCCCGACTGGTCCTGATACTTGCCTACTGGGCATTTCACGCAGCCACGCGCGTTGCCTGGCAGATCCTTGACTGTACTTGGAAGCTTTGCAGAAGAAAATATATGTATGTATATATATATATATTTTTGTAGTTAGCTGTTTCTTAGGATTCTTAATATCAAAGGTTGTAATTTCAGTTGTTTCTTAGGATTCTGAATAGCATAAGATTAGAAATAACTTCCAAGTGCGCACAAGGATCCTTAAAAAGGCCTGGACTGCAGGGGAGGCAGGCCTCCCACAAAGGGTACCTTGACTGTACCCGGCAGCCCCCTGTAAAAACTAGACATATGTATATATGTTTGTTGAGATATACATATGTATATATAATATATATATATATATTATAGCATATATAAACATTTGTTTAAAACACACACACACACACGTGTGTTTAGCTGTTTCTTAGGATTCTTGATAGCAACAATTGAAAAGTCTTTCCAAGTACGGCTAAGGTACGCGGTGGTGCTGTTGGGACTCTGTGGGTCCAGCTTCAGCGCCTGTCCGGCCGGGCAGCTCCCTTCCCCACAATCTGCGCCTGAGAAAGGTGCGTTGCAAATGCACTCCTTACTTGCTGAGTTGCCTGGCCCGAAAATAGTTGTACACTCTTTCCTTTATATAGGAGTATATAAGCCAAAGCAGTGTAAACTGTATCTTCTCGGCTACTAAGACTCTCCGAGCCGAACGTTTCCCAGCCCAAGCCCGTTCAAACCGCTTGAGTTGTCCATGGCCATTTGATCATCCAGGCAGCGGCCTCGTCGATTGCATACCTAGGCTGCTCTGTACTGCCTTGCTACAAGTTTATTTTTCAGTGCCCCTAGTATTAAAAGGCTAAGCACAAAAAGTGATAAAGTTACAAAGTGGCACTAAAGTTCAACCAAGGTACGTTGGAGCTCAGAAGACCCGGGCAAGCTGTACACACGGAGCTTAGCGATGTCTCGGTGCGAATGGAAAAGTAGAGATCGTCACATTGCGTGCAGTCAGGCCCGCGGTAGCCATTCTTGCAAGAACATTGGCCCGAGGCCTGGCAGAAACCTTTCACTTCCTGCTGCTCGTGGCCACAGCCGTAGTGCACCTTGCAACTGCCGCGCTGGTAAAAGTAGAGCCGCCCCGCGTTGTTCTTCACTACTAGATCAGGCCGTCCATCATCATCAAGGTCGACAGCAAAAGGGTCAGGACGTCTGCCCACGCTGATCTTGGCAAAGGGATTGTCTGAACCAGTGAGTTCTTGGAGATGTCCCGCAGTACCCTTAAAGAAACGGAGTGTGCCATTCCAGCATCCTACAATCAAATCGAGCTGCCCGTCTCCATCCCAGTCCGTCACGCTGAAGGAGCTGTAGCGTTTTAACATGAATCATTTCAAAGGGATTCTGCGCACCCCTGCGTTCCACAAGGCTGCCATTGGCGGTGCCAACGAAGTAGCGGATGTTGCCTAGCCCTTCGCCTAAGATCAAGTCAAGGTGACCGTCGTGGTTCCAATCCTTACTTGCTAAGTGTACACTTTCTCGTTTACAAAGGAGTATATAAACCAAAAAAATGTAAAGTGTATCTAGTCAGTTATTAAGAATCGGCTGCAACAGGGTACGCGTCGCCCCTGCCGGCCTGAATGCCAGCGAAAGTACTGTGGCCAACCACTTCTCTTTGCTTTCCATCTGGGCTTCCCTGGAAGAACCTGATGCCTTTTTCGCCGACCAACAGATCAGGATAGCCGTCTTTATCCCAGTCTACTCGAAATACCGCCGACGTCGTTCCTTGGCTGCTCTGTACTGCCTTGCTAAATGTTTCAACTTTGAGCATCCCTAGTAGTAGAAAGCGTAGTCCAGCAAATGATAAAGTATGATAAAAATTAATATAATGTCAAAAAGGGCCACTAAAGTTCAACCGCGGCTCGAGGGAGGTACATGCTATGTTCAAGCAACTCCTCGAAGGCGGTGTCCAAGCTGCCCCTGAACATCTTCAACCGGCCGCCTGAGATGGCAAACCTTACTTGCTGAGTTGTCCAGTCCGGACCCGGTGTTCTCCTAGAGTTCTTTTTACTAAGGCTTTTAAGCCAAAGACATGTAAAGTGTGTATCTACTCGGCTACTAAGAAACAGGTGGAGTTTCCCAGCGCCCGTGGCTTCAAGGCCAACTAGTTCTACCCTGCGGCTCTGCACGGATGAAAACGGATACATGTAACGAGACCGCTCTATCAGCGTATGCTCATCGACCGTCTGCTGATAGAAGCTCACGCCCTCATCACTATTCACCATGATCTCCGGAAAGCCATCGCCATCCAAGTCAACGCCGTTCGGATAGCGACCCCAAACTTTTGCGAAGGGGTTTGCGTCCCCACTTACCTCTATCAAGCCTCCATCTGCAGTGCGGCGGGAAAAACTGAGCTGCATGGATCTGATGCTGTTTACCACCAAATCGAGATCTCCGTCATGGTCCAGATCAAGAGCGCAAGGATAGACGATAGCGTTGGAGCCAAGTGATATAGCCGCAAAGGGATTCTCCGAGCCGGCTCTCTGGATGAATGATCCACCGGCTCCACCCTCAAAGTAGAGGACTTGACCCAAACAGTTGCCTACCAGCAAGTCGAGCTGCCCATCACCATTCCAATCTACAGGATAGGGCAGTGCAAAGCAGTTGTCCATGTTCATGTACGCCAAGAAGCTCGACCAAGTCCTTGCCAAGGCTCTCTGGCTAGGACACACCTATGATGCAGGGTCTGATACTGGCAACTCTGTTTTCAGACAGATGATGTCGTGCGGAGGCTCTCTGGCTTATATACGGGACACCCCCCGCCGTCAATCCCCCGAAAATGAAACAAGCCCAGACTCAGTTGTGGCTCGCCCTCTTCATTTTGCAAAAAGAGACGAACATTTCCTGAAGGATCTGCTAGCAGAAGGTCCATCCTGCCGTCTGCATTCCAGTCAATAGGTCTTGGAGCCACCAGCACTGATCCGGCCAAAGGGATTCTGCGGAAAGGATTACGGTATCCGACCCGTTCCACGAAGCTCCTTGCTGAGTTGCCTGGCCCGAAAACAGCCTTCACCTATTCCTTTGTATAAGAGTATATGAGCCAAAAACTGTAAAATGTATCTACTCAGCTACTAAGGCTCCCGTTCTCTTCACGTTCGAAATACCGCAGTCCAGCCTGATTGGCCTTCGAGCTGCCGACTCCCACCAGAAGTCCCAGGCTGCCGTTCCCGTACCAATCCAGCGCGGTGGGTGCAGCAAAGCCCATGGGAAAAGGTCCAAGGTACGTCGGAAGCTTGGAGAAATACAAAGGCTTTCCCAAACAGCTGTTCGAATCAGCCGAGGAACACCAGGCGCCACTTACACTTTTGACATAGACCAGCGCGCAGATTACCAGTATCATTAGTGCACTCGGCGCCATGAGTCTGTGGACAGGCCTTGTCCCAGTGTCCTTAAACCTCTTAAAACGCGGCTGATGCCTTTAAGCCAAAATGGCTGATGGGATGGAGGCTTCTCCCACTGGTCGGGCGGTTGAGGCAAGAGGCTGCCAAAAGCTCCCAACGCCACTCCTCTGACTTACAACTCAAACTCAAAGGGGACAGCAAGGCAGCCAAGGCACTCCGTAGAGTATCAGGCCGCTGCCCATGATGAAGTACCTTGCAAGGCTTTGCAGAAATGGCATGGGTTTGGGAATCTCGGCTCGATGGCTGAATTTCAATTTTGTTCCCCAAACCTCCCCCGAAAGTTAAGGACAGTTTCAGGAGGGTAATTACCAGGGGGGTACCTTATATATGGCTTCTAAAAGGGGTGTATGAGGGCACTAAGGTTCATAGAAGTGGTATATACGGGGTATATGGGGGAGACTACCCACCTCAAACTGTCCCAGACAAAGGCATATCCCCAAAGATTCCCTACGTACAACCATAAGGAATCCTTGGGGGTACCCCGTTGGGGGGAGAACCTTATAAACATTGGATGACTTTCCTGCTAAACGAGATGCTGCCCTCCCCAGGAATGCGAACTCGGGTCAGATCGAAGGCTCAAGGGTCTGCATTATCATTGCTACCCTTGTTTGTTTTGTTATCTATTCCTATTAGTATTATTCATAAAATATTGTTATTATTGTTGGTAGTGTTATTGTGTTTTACTATGATGTTATTCTTATTATTGTTACCGTTGCTAGTAGTAGTAGTAGTAGTCGTCGTCGTCGTCGTAGTAGTAGGAGGAGGAGGAGCAGCAGTAGTAGTAGTAGTAGTCGTCGTCGTAGTAGTAGTAGAAGTAGAAG